CATTTCCTGCCCATCAGTGTTACCAGCTAAATACTATGAGACTCATGACGGTAAAACATCAGAACTACTTCTATACTTAAAAAGGCACATCAGAAAACTATAACAGTCCAATTAGTAGCCTGAGCCATATTATGAATGGTTGGTGCAGTAAGAGAGATATAATCACATAGAGCATCTTACATGAGTGTTTCTTCTTGGAAATATTAACCTTTTCAGGCATGAAGAATAACTAACAATTCATATAAACATACCTGCGGAAATTTAAATCTTTCAGGAATGAAGAATAACTAACAATACATATAAACATACCCGCCAAAATTTCTTAGTAATAGTCCTATACTTGCAGTTCACAAGTTCTCCATTCCTTCGATAGGTGAAAGCAATAGCAATCTGTATCGAAATCTTCATCAGACATTACTCCAGCAAAATTAGGAATTAAATCAAAGTCAAGTTACTAGAATATAACAGTTTAGAAGAGTCTAAACAATGTTTTTGACACTCCTCTCTGTCTCTCTGAAGTCTGTTCCCCTGGCCTTCCTCTTCTTTCAGGAGAAGGGTAAAGGGCTCAGGGTTCAGGGGGGATGTGGTTTTGATGGCATTGCAATAACTGTAATTACTGCCATGGCTAGAATAACTCTTTAGCACATCAAGGTAACCTCGTGATTGCAGACAAATATACAGGAACATTTCTGAAAAGAAAACAATGTCTGCACCTGGTTGCCACTTCTTTTTTGCATTACAAAGTTTCTTCGCAGTGTTTCTCCAGATATCATTCGATCAGCAAAATATGCAAGTAGCTGAAACAACAGTCAAAAGGCATCAACGAGGTTGAATATCTTGGTCAGATATAGATAAACCACAAAGAGAACTGGTATAGGATCATAGACAACAAACATACGGTCTACTTTGATCTTAACATCGATAAGAGGCACAAAATTTTACAGTGCCAAACACGCAGCAAGAACAATATTAGCAAATAGATTCTACTTGCCACTGATTCGTATGTGACAGAATGTCCAAACATGGACAACAAATAATAATAACTACCTCACTGCACAAAGGTTCCAGTTCCAAACTCTCCTCTGTGATTTCTCTAAGTGGCTGTTTTATTTTGCCAATTCTATTCATTTTTGCATAAGTAGATTTTATGTCAGCAAAGGCCTACAAGCAAAATAACCAGTATACCACATGAGTTGTGCACCATCAGTACTCAGTAGTCAGTTAAGCAACTTCATTTAAAGCATACCCTTGTAGTGCCTCTCCACCCACATTTAGCCCGAAAGCAGTTCCACACTGCTGCAGCACTATGACATATAGGTGTATAGTACTATACTTCTGTTAAAAGAAAAGGAAAAAACAGAACACGAATTATAACCGCAACTTACCCATCTTCTGTGATGTGAAGAGATAAGCTTTTCTCTTCGGAATCTCCACCTTTGCACTACAATGTCAACAAGGAGGGGACTCAAGACAATGAAAAAAACAACTAAAATGAGAACAATCCAGTATGTGGTAGATACAAATGCAGTCCCGTTGACAAAAACATATGAAATTAACATATTTATGTCGGCATGTTTGGTATAGATATATAGTACTTGTCTCTTCATATATACAGTAGTAGTAAAAATGTTAAATTACTAAATCGCAAGATCTTTACAGCTGAATAAACTGAAACAACACAAGTCTCTCGGAAAAATAATATTCAAAAGCACATACGTTTGGACATACTAAACCATAGTATTGCCCTGGCATACAAGCGTCTCCATCAATCCCCATATCCTCCAACTTCTGTTTTAACATCCTCAGCTGCTCCGAATCTAGCACTTGCTGCTCTGGGGTCTCCAAAACAACTCCAGAAACTAGACAAGATTAAATGAAAGCATTCTTCAAAATCCATTAAAAACAGAACAAACAAAACTAGACCAAATTAAATAAAAGCATTCTTCAAAATCCATTAAAAACAGAACAAACAAAACTAGCCACGTACAATAATCTTCAAATATGGTACCACCTCTTGATGCTGTTGCAGTGCTTCTATGATATCACGTTTTTGTTTATCTTTCTATAAAAATTCAATTTTTTTTTTTTTTTTATTTTTCAAACAACACAAAAAATTCAGCTTTACCCCTCTTTTAATCCAACTTATGCATATATGAAATGTGAACATATAATACCCCCATACTTAAGTACCAAATTATATATACAAACTTTAAATACCAAATGAATTTTGAAAAGAAAGTTTCTTAACAATAACGCTCCAAAAATGTGCTCTGTGCTTAACTAGTAGTACCTTCATCTGACATAGTCGATTTTCAAACATTAATAACAGTCGATTTTCAAACATTAATAACAGGGCAAATATATTAAAAGTGAACAAAACATCCAAATAGAAAAGAAAAGAAATAGAATAAAAAAAAACCTGGTCTGGGTGTAGGCATAGCAGCATGGGGGTAATAACTCAACCCAGAGGTCATCCGATAAATTGGAGATATGGGTTTCGGAGAAGAAGTAGAAAATGCTATATTTTTCCTATGAGTAGAAAATAACTGAGGTTGCGAAGTTGAAGAAAAATGGGCCACATATGCATGTGTATGCGTTACAGGCGTGAGTGTAGGCTTAAGAAGAAGCAAGTGTTTGAAGCCCATGAAAATTACTCTGTTGCAGTTGGAATTGGTGCTCAAAAATAGTCTGCTCTGAGGTAAAAGAAGCATATTTTGAGCTGCAAGGGTTTCTTGTTATTGACAGGACGACAAAGAAGAAGTAGATGCTTGCAATTCCAGGATGAGAAAGAAAGAGCAGCGAAAAAGGTTTAAGAACTGTATACTTCGATTTTACACTCTTTTC